TCTTGTAAATGGAATTTTTGAAGCATTCTGAATGTAAAAATAAAGAAAAAAGTGTGCAAGACAATAAGAAACACTACCTGCCAAAAAAAAAAAAGTGAAGTTTTGTTGATATCGGTTGAAAAATATAGGAAATCCGATCCCATATATAAACGCGCGCGCACACACACACACACACACACACACACACACACACACACACACACGCAAACAACCTGGGTTTTTATAATAAGTATAACTCGATATGAGTTGTCCCCCTTTCATTCTGGCGACAGCGATGCCCCTTAATCGTGTCTTCAGATTGATTTCGTGCAAAAACAATTGTGTTTTTCCAATTTTTGGCTCTGTCACAACCACCGCAAGGTAATTTTACGTAGTCCTGTGAAGTTTTGTTGAAATCGGTTGAAAAATGTAGGAAATCCGATCCAATATATAAACGTACAGACACGCACGCGCACACACACACACACACACATACATACACACACACACACACACACACAACCTGGGTTTTAAGTATGATTAAGCAGTAAGTACATCAGAAGCGTGTCACACGACTAGTGAGAGTTTATTGAATGAACCAGCGCTCAATCCGTTCACTGTCCCTTGTTCCCAGAACCTTCTCTCCTATTAAATTTATAGTAGGCGAAAGAGACTAATATAGACTCTTAGAGGGAGGACACCACAACGATTACTAAGGTGGATCTCATGGATGAAGGGAACTGTAAATAGATAAGATGAAGGGTAAATTGCCAATAAGTAGCTAGCTAAGATGAATCACACGATTAAGAGGAAATGGCCCATATACAAAGCTGCTTCAATAAGTATAATGCTTAATTTATGTGATTAATATTCACAACAGAATTAAGTGCATTAACAAAGGGGTAGGTAATAATGCTGAAAAATAAATTTATGTCAAATGTTTTTTCATTATTAAGCCATAGACATTTTGATGTACCTATATAGATAAAGAACTTGATTGTTGAATAAGTAAAATGGAACAAGTTTGAAATTATCTTCTGAAACGTCAAGCATCCAAATCTCTTCGCATCAAGATAGTCCTGGGTATGACGATAGACTACATCTGGCAGCAAGGCCTCTACCCGGGAAATTGGAGGTTTTTAGGATTGTGGAACAACTTCTTATTTGCTGTTTTTCCCAGGTCAACCCTGACCCCCGGGGGGGGGGTGACAGCAACTATGAGCAAATAGTGAACACGTAAAAAAATAAAATAAATAAAAATAAATAAATAAGAAAGCTTATAAACTGGGTAGATGCAACTGTCCGAAAGCCGTCGATAGTTGTGCTAGCACAAAATCATAAGTCATCGTGACTGAGGTTTTGAGCGTACTGACATTGTTCAAACTGCTGATCATACCAGTTATACTCTCTCTCTCTCACCCTCCTCCCTCTCTCTCTCTCCCTCTCTCTCTCAGAAATACTAACTAAAGTCTGCTCAGCAGAGTTTCAGTATAAACTACAGGAGGGCTTTGTGATTGCTGAACAAACACAAATGTGCCTGAGCAGGTGTCTGTGTCGGGGATTGGTTAGCCGCCTTAGCAGACGGGAGTACCCCGAAAACGGGAGTAAACGGCCATTGCATAGGAAAAGGATGTAATCAATAGCCTGTAGCCTGACTTATAATCATTTGCTAAATTTTGAGCTGAGATTTTCATTTTTCAATCTATGGAATTAATATTCACAACAAAATTAAGTGCATTGACAAAGCGGTAGATTATTTTGCACAATAATATTTTCTGTCTGAAATTTAGCGATGCGGGATTATCGTTATTGTACGCTGATGTTCACAATAATAGCCCCATCTTAATTGTTATTGTCACAACGTTTCGATTGAGGTACTCTCCAGCATTCTTTATATAGTCTGATTGATTCCTTTTTTACGGTTTATCAATCTTTTTGAAGGTTATTTAAAGCCAGAAATATTTTTTAGACAGTATAATTTTTTTTTAGATAATAATGGTTTACTGATACAAGTCTTAAAGGGGGATTCATGCCTTCCCCAAAAGTATTTTACGCGTAAGTGAATATAATGAACCTGACTGGAATTCGAACTCGGCTCTCAGATTAACAATTGCGAGCCATTATCCATTATTACGCCACCCGCACAGCCAAGCTTACAGCAGCTATTATTCCCAAGCAGTCACCCATCTAGGTACAGACCAGGCTCGATGTTGCTTAAATGGTGTTTCAAAATGATATGGCCGTAAGCCGGCCTTCTTTAGATGTCCTTAGTAGTTGCAACCTTCTGGTATTTTCAAACCGAACACTTTATTCAATCCACGGCTGTCGATTGTTCTCCTTTCTTTGTCCATGCCAGATGATATCTCATATCAGTTAATTCTGTCGATTGGGTTTTATCTGTGTGGGTCGTTTAGTGCAGAATGTCGTAGAATCTGGTTCATTGGAAGACACGAGTGATATCACAAGGTCGACTTAATGAGACGGAATTATCTGATACGAGTTATCTCCCCTAGAATGAGTGGCGGAATTAGAACAATCTACCCCCTGTTGACTAAATAAAGGTTTCGGTTCGAAATTCTCACAAGGTTACCGAGTACAACAGACATCTGAAGGTGACCGGAGGGCACAACAAAAAAAAGAGCACGTGGACAGAACAAATCAATATATATATATATATATATATATATATATATATATATATGTGTGTGTGTGTATTCTGCCAGCATGTTTTCATTGAAGCAAGTTTCGTCGAATAATTTAGACAAAGTTTTGTCTGCTTATTTTTAACAGGATCCGTTCATATTTTCGGATGAGCTTTCTGGAGTCGGTATTAAAGAATAAACAGACAAATACCGACCACAGAAAGCTCATATATATATATATATATATATATATATATATATATATATATATATAAAAAATATGAAATTGACTAATTCCGACAATTATTTTGATATATTTTCTGTTTTTACGTTATTTTATAGATACAAATATTTGAGTAAATGCTATGTTTATAATAAATAGTAGTAACAATATTTACCGGCCTGAATGGCCGAAAAATTTCATAAAAATATGCGTCCTTCGAGAGGAATCGAACCTGTACGCAACAGTCATATAGCCTCATATGATATAACAATTTGTCAATTGACCTCCCAACAGTTTATTTAAAAAAAACAAACTCATAAACGCTATTATTTTAAATAAATAAATAAATGAATAAATAAACAAACGCACAACGTTGAGCGTGATAGAAAGAGAGGAGGGGAATGTGAAGAAGGAAGAAGAAGAAGAAGACGCGTGAAGAGAAGAAAAGGAGGAGTGTAAATGTATTGGTGGGGAATAAATGACATTTTCCTTTTTCTTTTATTCAGTCTCATATCTGCTTAAGAGGATTTTTTTTAGTATGTATGCAAAGACTCATGACTTCGGATTTCTGGTTCAAAATGTTCTTTGGATCCGGAAATTATTTCTAATTTTTCCTGTTTGCAGAGGTTGCAAATATTATTGTAGTTGTTATAAGGCTTATATATATATATATATATATATACATATATATATATATTGTGTATTTGGGCAGCAACCTTTCTTTTATACATGTTTCACTGAATGTGCGAAACAAAAAAAAAAAAAACTTTTTTAAAGTGTTTTTCCAATGTTCTTACAGTTTCCTTTGTGGGACGTCTAATGGAGTACAGAAACTCGTCGTAATGGTTATTGTCCCAAGCACTTTCGGTCAATAATTTATACCAAGCACTTTCGGCCAATAATTTATCCCAAGCTCTTTCGGCCAATAATTTATCCCAAGCACTTTCGGCCAATAATTTAACCCCAGGCTTTTTCGGACAATAATTTATCCCAAGCACTTTCGGTCAATAATTTATCCCAAGCACTTTCGGCCAATAATTTGGCCATTTTCAAAGGGTTTGTTGTTAATTTGCTTGTCAACGTTTGAGATCTAAGGTGTATTATGTAGAATTAGTAGTGATCTTAGACTGTGCGAGAGGATACGACCGTGACTCCGTGTTAGAGAGACATATTAAAAGACCACCCACTCATTTCTGGGGACTAAAAATTATCGGGGTTTTTCATATAAAACAACCCAAGCCAAGTATCAACCTTATTTTATTTAACAACAGCGGTAATGTGTTGGTGGTCTTTAAAAAGACCCCCCCAACACAGCTGCATTCTCTCGTGCACTTGTTTCGATGAACTTTCCTTTAAGCAGTTGGTCCTAACTTAGCATCTCGCCTTCAATCGTCCCACCGTCATAACATAGCTTCCCTGTGCCTTTTCTATAAATAATTTCATCGTAATTCTTCTGATGAACTTTCCACTATGGTACCTAGACTTTATGAATTTAAGCACAATACCAGATTGGAGGCAAGGTTTCGTTATTTTACTGTTGAAATTCCTAAATATAAACCGTAAGTTCTATGCTAATAGTTTCTTCTCTCGCACTTCTCGCTTGTGGAACTCTCTTCCGGCTTCTTGCTTCCCAGTCAACTTTGATTTTCAAAAATTTAAATGCAATATCAATCGTTATTGTCTTACTAATTCTTGATTTTTTTCTTCTCTCTCCATTTTTTTTTAATCATTTCACCTTTGGAAGGCAATAAAGCCACTAGGACGCCAGAGGATACTGAGTGTTACTGAATATGAGGAAAAACTACTACTTGCCTGTAAAGGTCTGAGTTGCTGGCTCTAAAGAATAAAGCTTGTCTGAATATTTGCAATGGAAGAGCGAGAGAGAGATTGATCATTTTTTACGGCTTATCAGCCCTTTGCGGGTTATTTAAAGTCAGAAAACATTTTTAAAAGGCAACAATTTTATGAAGATAATATTGATTTACTGATACAAGTACTACTATTTAACTTATAGCTGGGGGTTGGAGAAAAGGTGTATTCATAACTTTCCCAAGGTTATTTATGCATGTGAATATAACGAAACCGACTGGAATTCGAACTCTGATCTCCCATTCCAAATTCTGAGTCGTTATCTATCAGACCACACGCACATCCAGGCTTACAGCACCTGATATTTCTAAGGGGTCACCCATCTGTATATTGACCATGCTCGACGTTGCTTGATTTCGGTGATCGTACGAGAACCGATGTTTCATAGTGATATGGCCGTAAGCCACACTACCCGCACATCCAAGCTTTCAACACTTGATATTTCCAAGCGGCCACCCATCCATATATTAACCTGGCTCGACGTTGCGGTCACCCATCAATATATTAACCGGGCTCGACTTTGCTTAACTTTGGTGATCGTATGAGAACCGATGTTTCGAAGTGATATGGCCGTAAGCCACACTAACCGCACATCTAAGCTTTCAATACTTGATATTTCCGAGCGGTCACCCATCCATATATTAACCTGGCTCGACGTTGCGGTCACCCATCAATATATTAACCGGGCTCGACGCTGCTTAACTTTGGTGATCGTACGAGAACCGATGTTTCATAGTGATATGGCCGTAAAAGCCACTACCCGCACATCAAGCTTTCAACACTTGATATTTCCAAGCGGTCACCCATCCATATATTAACCTGGCTCGACGTTGCGGTCACCCATCAATATATTAACCGGGCTCGACGTTGCTTAACTTTGGTGATCGTACGAGAACCGATGTTTCAAAGTGATATGGCCGTAAGCCACACTACCCGCATATCCAAGCTTTCAACACTTGATATTTCCAAGCGGCCACCCATCCATATATTAACCTGGCTCGACGTTGCGGTTACCCATCCATATATTAACCGGGCTCGACGTTGCTTAACTTTGATGATCGTGCAAGAACCGATGTTTCAAAGTGATATGGCCGTAAGCCACACTACCCGCACATCCAAGCTTTCAACACTTGATATTTCCGAGCGGTTACCCATCCATATATTAACCTGGCTCGACGTTGCGGTCACCCATCAATATATTAACCGGGCTCGACGCTGCTTAACTTTGCTGATCGTGCGAGAACCGATGTTTCAAAGTGATATGGCCGTAAGCCACACTACCCGCACATCCAAGCTTTCAACACTTGATATTTCCAAGCGGCCACCCATCCATATATTAACCTGGCTCGACGTTGCGGTTACCCATCCATATATTAACCGGGCTCGACGTTGCGGTCACCTATCCATATATTAACCGGGCTCGACGTTGCTTAACTCTGGTAATCGTACGAGAACTGATGTTTCAAAGTGTAAGGAGGCATGGATGTAATGGATAGCGGCTCGGATTGAGGAATCGGAGAGCCGTGTTCGAATTCCTGTCGAATCCATTACATTCACGTACGTGCTAATACCTTTGTGTATGAATTCTCTCCACCCCCGCCTTCGCTATGGGTAAATAGCAGGACAGATCAGCAACTGGTCTACTGCAGAAAAAATGCCAACCTACTGCGGGAAAAAATCTGCCTCGTCAGTCATGTACAAGATACATCATCGCGTAAGCGTGTGTCACGCACGGCACATAATTGTCTGATGGTCGTAAGTAGTGATAGAATAACGGTAGGCTTGCGACGTTGCGAACGTAGGAAAGGGGATGCACTGTGGATATGTCAGATTTTAGTAGCACACAATTTTCTGTGCTTCATTCTAAACTGGGAGTGGGTGTCCTCTTTCCTTTTGTAATATTTGCTTCCACTCCGGCATTTTATCTGGATTAGGCTACAGAATACCATCGCAGAATTCAAAGATAAAAATCGCAAACGAACAGAACCTACCGACAGGCATTATGGGCACACAGACTAAGATGGACACAGAGAATTTTTTTTTTTAGATTAATTGATTGGCACAAGTCAAAGATACGATCGAGTTCCACTCTAGATAAGCAAGGCAGATAAATAATTGCGGCCGCTGAAAGAATGGAACATCATCCTGAAAGGTCGCATACATCGGTCCGATGATCGATGCTTTCATGAAACGGCGACTGATAACTTTTGCTTGGGAAGGAGACAGACATGTTACCGTACGATCTATCAACGGGATGCCTGTTACATGTCATGTCTACGGCAGGGCAGCTGTCTCTTAGAAGGCTGGCAAATTTTAGCCCAGTACAAGGAGGCAGTTCTAAGAGAATTGGAAATCCTGACAGGATTCATCATTGGCGGCCATAGCCTTAACAACATAAGACACGCAAATGGAACAATACTGATAGATAGCAGACATGGAAAGGAAACTCCAAAACCTCCTACAGAAGGCAGCGAAGGGGAGCGAGAAGAAAGGGACTAAGCATAAACTACAAGAAGACAGAATACATAGTCATCATCAAAAAGATGAGCCTGAAATGCAATTTACAGGCCGGGTACACTAAAATCAAGCAAGTGCAGAAATTTACATATTTGGGAAGTGTTCTGACAGAGGACAGTAAGTACAATGCTGAGATCCAAAGATGTATTGTAATGGCCAAATACACATTCCAAAAGGTAAGCAAAGTATTATGAGACAGGAGGATTTCATTAGTAACAAAGAAAAGAATACAGAACTGCTACATGATAGCCATGAATGTTGGACAGTCTCCTCAAAGATGAAGAAGAGACTCAAGACAACGAAGGTATAGTTCTACAGAAGAATGCTGAGGATACCATGGACCGAACATGTGAGCAACAATGAGGTTTTGGAGAGGATTCAAACAAAGAGGAAATTTATACTTAACATCAGAAAGAGGCAGCTGAAATTTCTGGGAAAGAGGTACAAGAAAGAAGCAACATGTGATATACTTAGAAGGCTTAAGTAATTGGATGGTAGAACAGAGTCTGGGAAAAGTAGCAAAAAGACAAAACTTATTGAGAATTACAAGAGATAGGAGGAAGTGGAGAGCCATGATCGCCTACATCCTGAAGGGACATGGCACATAAAGAAGAAGACACCAACAGCCAGAAAACATTGAAAAGGAAACATGGAAAAGGAAATCACCAACAGCAAGCACAGAAAGGAAATTACAAAACCTCTTACAGAATGTAGCAAAAGAGAGCGAGAAGAAGGGACTAAGTATAAACTACAAGAAGACAGAATACATGGTCATCAGCAAAAAGATGAGCTCAAAATGTGTTTTACAGGTTCAGGACACTAAAATCAAGCGCAAATTTAAATATCTGGGAAGTATTCTGACGGAGGACGGTAAGTGCGACGCTGAGATCCGAAGACATATTGAGATGACCAAAGACGCATTCCAAAACACAGGCAGAGTATTACGAGACAGGAGGATTTCATTGGTAACAAAGAAAAGAGCACTGAACTCCTATGTGACATCTGTTCCCCCTTCAGGGTAACGAACGTTGGACGATCTCCTCAAAGGCGAGGAAGAGATTCGAAGTAATAGAGGTATGGTTCTACAGAAGGATGATGAGAATGACATGGACCGAACGTGTGAGCAACGATGAGGTTTTGGAGAGGAGGCAAACAAGGAGGAAGCTTATACTTAACGTTAGGAAGTGGCAGCTGAAATTTCTGGGACACGTAACGAGAAAGGAAGGCTTGGAGAATCTGATACTCACAGGGTGAATAGAGGGAAAGAAGGACAAAGGAAAGCAACGCATGACATACTTAACGGGCTTAAGCAATTGAATGGCAGAAACGGGTCTGGGAGAGATAACAAAACGACAACATTTATTGAGAAAAAGAGATAGGAAGAAGTGGAGAGCCATGATCGCACGCGTCCTGAAGGGAGATGATAAATAAAGAAGAAGACACCAACCGCCAGAGGTAATAAATAAAATGAAGTAAATAAACGAGATAAATAAATCAAAACAACATGTATGTGCGCGCGCGTGTGTGTGAATGTCTGGATAGGCATTTCATTTTCTTTCACTCTCTCTCTCTCTCTCTCTGTCTCTCTCTCTTCCTTTACCTTTCTCTCCCCTCTCATTCTCTTCACTTCTCTTTCCTTCTCCTTTCTCTTCTCTCTCCACCTCTCTCTCTCTTACGGTTTATCTTTAACTCTCTCACCTCCTCTCTCTCACTCTTATTCTTTCCTCTTTCTAACGCGTTTCATTCTTTCTCTTTAGCACTTGCTCTCTTTCTCCCTCGCCTTCTCTCTCTCGCTCGTTCCCTTTCTCTTCAGTTCTGTATTGCTTGTTCAATCCACCAATTATTGTATGTCGTTTAATTGTCTTGCAAAGAAGGAACAAAATACAGAAGCTCTGAAAACCGAAGGCGCATTGGGACAGAGAAAGGTGTCTTAAAAAAGCTAAGCAAAATATTAAGAAATAGACAAATTTTGTTAGAGACAAAGAAAAGAGTACTGAACTGTTACGTAATATCAGTCCTCCTATATGGCAGTGAATGCTGCACAATCTCCTCACAGATGAAGAAGAGACTTGAAGCAACAGAAACAAAGAAAAGAGTAATGAACTGTTACGTAATATCAGTCCTCCTATATGGCAGTGAATGCTGCACAATCTCCTCACAGATGAAGAAGAGACTTGAAGCAATAGAAACAAAGAAAAGAGTACTGAACTGTTACGTAATATCAGTACACCTATATGGCAGTGAATGCTGGACAATCTCCTCACAGATGAAGAAGAGACTTGAAGCAATAGAAACAAAGAAAAGAGTACTGAACTGTTACGTAATATCAGTCCTCCTATATGGCAGTGAATGCTGCACAATCTCCTCACAGATGAAGAAGAGACATGAAGCAATAGAAACAAAGATGACGTAATATCAGTCCTCCTATATGGCAGTGAATGCTGCACAATCTCCTCACAAAGAAGAGACTTGAAGCAATAGAAACAAAGAAAAGAGTACTAAACTGTTACGTAATATCAGTCCTCCTATATGGCAGTGAATGCTGCACAATCTCCTCACAGATGAAGAAGAGACTTGAAGCAATAGAAACAAAGAAAAGAGTACTGAACTGTTACGTAATATCAGTCCTCCTATATGGCAGTGAATGCTGGACAATCTCCTCACAGATGAAGAAGAGACTTGAAGCAATAGAAACAAAGAAAAGAGTACTGAACTGTTACGTAATATCAGTCCTCCTATATGGCAGTGAATGCTGCACAATCTCCTCACAGATGAAGAAGAGACTTGAAGCAATAGAAACAAAGAAAAGAGTACTAAACTGTTACGTAATATCAGTAAAATATGGCAGTGAATGAACAATCTCCTACAGATGAAGAAGAGTTGAAGCAATAGAAACCTAAAGAGTACTGAACTGTTACGTATCAGTCCTCCTATGGCAGTGAATGCTGCACAATCTCCTCACAGATGAAGAAGAGACTTGAAGCAATAGAAACAAAGAAAAGAGTACTAAACTGTTACGTAATATCAGTCCTCCTATATGGCAGTGAATGCTGCACAAT